TATATATATTATATATATATATATATATATATATATATATATTTTTTTTTTTTTTTTTTTTTTTTTTTTTTTTTTTTTGAATGGATAATTTGGTGTATGAAATGTCAAATAGATTCAATAACCAACAGCTATGGGTTGTTTTGGCCAACAAATGGGAAAAAAAATCCAAAAAGGCAATATCAGGAATATTTTCATTAATAAATATCAACTTTCCTAACTGATAAAAAGAAGTTTAATGACATATGAATATGTCAAGTTATCTTGCTTATCGATCGTAAACTTCAGATTGTTTTCCCAAAATCAGCCGTCTTTGCATTTTATACCAACTTTCATAGACGAATCTTGTGTATGAATCTTTGATTCTGCTTTTCTTCGTCCGCGTCCACGTCTCTGTGGACGTTGCTCAAGGGAAAGCGTTGAAAATGATGTGTGTGGAAATGAATGAGTAACTGTTTAAAAGGATGAAGGAAGTGGTTTAAGAGGACTTACTAGGTTTATTTCAACAACATGATTCATGCATAAAAAAATAATAATGATCTTAGACTCCACCATGGGGTAGCCCCTTAGTTCACCCACTGTCTAGAACAGACATTGGGTGAACTAAGTTATAACAAAGTTCTGATTGGCTGCCCCTCGAGTGGGGCTTCTGCACTCACAAACAGTTAAATTTACCTTAGATGGCTGTACTGGACATATCATCCTCCATCATACAGGGGGGGGGGGGACAGCGAATAAAAGCCTCAAATGGGTTGTTTAGAGTACTCTGAATTCATGTAATTTATATACACTTTGACCTCTTTATTTAAAACCTTTAGCAATGTTTAGTATTTTTTTTTTTACCTGTATACAGCAGCTTCTTATAATTGCTTTTTCCCCAAACGACTGTCTACACACTGCTCAGCTTCGCCACATGACAAAGAAGACTAATGCAATCTCACATGCTTTAAAACTACGATGCTGTCGGCCTGCTAGAGGACCTTTGCTTCTACCCTACACATATCCAGAGCGCACACAGGTCAGCTCAGCTATTAAACAGACTCTCCGTGCAGTCGAACCGACTTGACGGGAGCCCACTAGATCTTGAAGGATGACCCTGTGAAATAGCTGGCATTCCTTGAGGGAAGGAAGGAGGAGCTCAACCGTGGAAATGGTTCTTTGCATTGTTGGCGAGTCTGTTTCTAAAACGAGTCCACATTGTAGTCTGTCTCCCCGCTGGCTGTTTTCAAATGTTAATGGCTGGCTCACGGTGCGAGGGCGCAGAGAGGGGAGGTTGGGGGGTCGCTATTCATTGACATTGGGGGAGTAGCTCTTTGCACTATCTGAAAATCTTACACAGGAGCAAAGTTGGGGAAAGGGACAGGAAATCGCTGACACACATGGGCTACAAAAGCTACATGTCACTGTTCAGACATCTGAGCAGGCACAGAATAATAAATGCTTTGAAGTTAAGATGGGAAAAAGCAATGTGAAATAATGCTTAAGTGCATATAACTTGCAGAGTTCTCTTGAAAAGGGCACTGGGTTCCTCTCAAGGAATTTCTTTCAGAAGAATACAAATGTCTCTTTCTGGAAGGACTACACAATGCCACCCCCTGCGTAAGCAAACAAGCTGAGAAAAGAAAAGAACCCCTGCTGTAAGGCTCATTATCAATGTGAAGGGCCACCTTGAAACAATCATGTGCATCCTCTGAACAACCTTCCCATGCACGATCGCCTGGAATGCACTCATTCTCACGGGGCGCTCCTCGACCTCCTCGACTCCCATCAACCCCACCCCAACGGCTCGACCCCCACTATACAGCCAACTCTGTTTGCCCTCTCGTTATTCCCGCAACTTCCTCTCCTTTTCATTTTCTGCAGGCCCCTTCAGCACCACAGATCCTCCTCCTCACTCTTAGAACAATGTCTGCTATGCTCTCTCCTCCAGTTCCCTTCAGTGCTGGCTGACTGCCTAGAACCTGAACCCATTAAAAAAAATACAAACACTTTGAAAAGCACATTTTGGGCCAGAGTTTGGCTTCATCTAATCACTCTTCACTCTGGTTGTGGAGCTATTTCTACAACGGTTACATCAGCTACAAAGGAATGAGACCTGGGTGTTTAAAACTGTGTCACGACCCTTTAAAAGGACAGTTCTGGGCAAGTACATTCTCCACGTCCAAGTCCAACTTCCAGCAGGGACATCCTTCATTTAAGGCATCATATCGAGAGCTTTAACTCAAAAGAATTAAAGGAGTTGATCGTTTTTACCTGTTATCACAAAAGCAGCAGGTTAATTATGGAGCTTTAGCATTACTGTTGCCGTTTGTTAGCACTGGACAGAGCCTGGCTGGCAGTTTCCTCCTGTTTCCAGTCGTTATACTATGGTATGTGAAGTATCTCCAAGCCAATAAGCAAATTGAATCTCTCATAATCCTCTCTATCTCCATATTTTGTTCTTGAACTCTACAGAACAGCTTTGCTCAGTCTGAAACGAGCCGTTTTAGCTCCTCCCCCTTGAGGCCAACTTTGTTCTGACTGGCTGCCATTCACGAACAGAGGGCTCAAACTGTAGGTGGGTGGGGCTTTATGAACTAAGAACCATAGCTGTGTGACTGTGATGGCTGTAAGAGGAATATCTCCGCTCTATGACATCACTCAGACCCAAAGGTAGAAAAAAACTGTCTGAATCTGAGCGTTTAGAGCCCGAACTTTTGGCTCACAGGGATTACTCACTAAACACAGACCTCATTAAGTGAAACTAAAAATATAACCATCCGCCTCTGTAACAGTGACAAGACAGAAAATAAGGAAAAAGCAAAATAGGTCCCCTTCATACTAATTTATGTCTCATCTTTCTTTGTCCTCCATTTCCCTGGAAGAGCTCCGCCTCTGTGAAGTTCATCATGGGGATTACACACATTTGGTGACCTATGGAAAAAGGCACCCCGTTTCACACCTGAACACCTGTTGGAAACTATCTCTAGAGGCGTCTGATCAGATCGCGGCGCCTCACCTCAGGTCACGTGAACCACATGAGGGGGAGGGGTCGGCCTCGCTTGTTAAGCATGTGTTGAAACACTACCACTCTGCGAGGACAGGGACGCTCTTAATATAGCTCTAAATATCGAGTGGCTGTCGGGATGTGATGCAGTAGAGCTGTGACCGGCTGAAACTAGATAATCGCAGTAGTGACGTGAAATGTGTCACCTAACCGGAGCCTTGGGCTGATTTCCCACCCTCCTTTCCTCTGCCACAGCCTTGCATAACGTGGATATGTTTATTGTAAACAAAGAGCGCTGTCTACATGATCTCTGTGCTCTGGCTATCTTCTGAATGTGACAAACAAAGGAGTCAGACGTCAGAGAGCGGAGTGTGTATACTGCACAGATATCCTCCCTACAGGCTGATAATGGCCTGAAACGGTGGTGTTTATCATATTTATGAGCATGCACTGATCAGTCTCATTGTTCAGGGTGAATACAGTGACCGTGGAGACATGCTCGAAGTTATTTCCCCACTTTCAAATCCTCCTCTGGCCTCACACCCAAACTATCACCCTTGGCTCTGTGAACTGTGTACTTGACAGGACAATGAGTCAGTGAGCATGACGCACATATGCAGCGAGCACGCCCTCCAGTCACAAATCTGCTGAAGAGTGACCAGAAGACTGAAGAAAAAAAGCCAAACCTCATAGCAGAGAGAATCCCAGCCAACACTGAGGCAAACAGCTACTTCACACATCAGAAAACAGCCAGTGAAAACTGAATCAAGTGCCCTCAAAACCCTCACAAAAGACTATTGCCCCTTTAACGGGGCAAGGAAGACCTCAGACCCAAGAACATGAAGCAAAGGAAAAGTGCTAAAATGCAATCACATCCAGAGTAAATTCAAAGCTTCCTCCTGATGAAGTGACATCCAGCTGTTCCATCCATCACTGTCGAAGCCTCCAATTGTCTACACCCTGATGTAAAGACCTGTGGTTGTAGCCGATGATGCAGAGGTGACTTTCCCTTTTAATCCCAGTAACTGCATTTGACAGCATTAACAACAGTCTTTTCTGTCTGTTTGAGAGCTGGTCTGATTTTACAGCATCCTAAACCACATTACAGCGAGCTTTACTCACAAAAGAAAACCCACTACCATAAAATATCCACAGCATCAAAAACAGGATAATAATCACAGATTTATAGCACTAAACTAAATATCTCTGAGGGGGGGGGGGGGGGCTTTCAGCTGTTGTGGAAATGACCTGCAGTTAGCTGAGCATTTTGATCTCCAAGGAGCCAAGCCAAACAACAATGTAATGTCACTCCACATCCACTACCATGAATCTTCTCTAAAGATATATTTTTTTAATCTATTTTTTTTACAACCGCTTTCATAACCCAATACTCCTTTTTTAAAACATTTTTAAACAATATCTCTAAGTATTTGCTAATTACACCTCCTATAATGTGTATTTGTCACAAATTTCTTTGTCATAACCTGATATCTTCAGGTTTTAGACTTCAAAAAAATACAATTTTCTGACATTGTCTAATCTAATGTTGTGGTGAGTCCAAGGAGGGGGCCTCAAAGTTGTTTTCATTTTAATTCCCTTTACGCCCCTGTGATGGAAAACGTAACCTGCAGATTTAAAGTGACGCATACTGACTTGTGCAGCACATTTATACACACACACACACACACACACACACACACACACACACACACACACACACATCAAGCAGAAACAAAAAAGGCACGTTTCAGCAAGTCATTAGTGCAGTTTCCCCTTCTTTTTTTAACCAGTTCATAAGAAAAAAGCAACCCGGATGTATTCACTGAAATAAGTTGTGATTACCGCCACGAATACAGAAGCGTTAACATTTCACATTCACGTCGACTCAAAAAGAAATCTCCGACAGCATCAAGATTTGTTGTCATTATCCAGGTTAAACAACACAACAAATATCCAGCCTTAATAACACAAAAAACTGAGATGTAGCATCAAATCCAGCCCGCGGCGCTTCACTTACTTTGTATTTCATCTTGCCGCTTCTCTTTCTGACTCCAGTTAAAGTGAGAAATATCCGCTTTACCGCGACACACAGCGGCACGTCGGAATAACCGGAGGCACTATTAAGAGTTTTTCTTCTTCTTCTTCCTGTGCGGTTAACCAGCCATCCAGAGATTCATATGCAGAGAAACACGCAATGATCTAGCTGACTCCAGTCCGCCGCTTTCTACTCCTCTACTCCGGAGAACCGCTCACCACACCGACTCCTGCAGCTCATTAACATTAGGCGCTCCTGATTGGCCCAACTAAAACCCTCTAACCACGCCCGCTTACGGTCTGCTAGAAATCTGCGACGTCATCGTCGTATCAAAATAAAATAAAGGAAAAAAAATAGAGTAGAAAGAAAATATTTTAAAAATTAAATTGCCAAAAAAATAAATTAAAAAATTGAATTAAAACAAGAATTCTAAAAATCTAAAGATATTGTATAAAAATAATAATAAACAGTAGAATATGAAGAAAAAAATTATTCTCTCAACTTTCTGTCGGTTTTTCAGGGTATAGAAATGTTAATTGTAGCATAACTTAATGCCAGGCGTAAAACAAAATATCATTAAAAAGGCTTTATTTTTTTATTTTTCTCCATTTATTCTGCACATTTACAACTGATATAAAGTGATCTTAATTTTTTTAATAAAAGTTAATAAAAGACACCACAAAAATGCAATCGTTATAAGTTACAGTGTGAACAGACAATTGTCCAGACGAACGAGAAATATCTATGATATCATATATAATGTATAACATCTATATTTAAGTTTCTCGTATCACTAAAAGACGGTACAGCTAAAATCACTGTGACCAGCTTTTCTGAATCAATTAATGAACACATACATTTACATATGAAACATTACCAGTCACCAACATTTGTCTTGCACTTGTCCCATCAAGGAAGCCTAAGTAATTATATGCTACCTGACGCTTTGTTATGGTGTACTGTAAGTGCATAAAGTACAGTACAACAGTCTCTAAAAAAAGAGTTATTTTAACATAATCTGTGCACCTGTAGAAATTACAGACTAGCATATTTGTTTGTGCATAAAGTTTACAACATTGGCCATCATTTCTGATGACATGAGTTAAATAACTAACTTAAAGTCACTACATTTAAAACTTTACCTCCCAAACAGAATCAGTAAATAGTTTGCTACCAGTCCTCTTTACATGAGGCACTCATTATTACACTCTTTTTAGTGTTAAATTCAACATCGTACTGCAAACCACAGCTTGAGCAGGAGACAAAAGAACTAAATCAAGTTCATTACAAGTAACGCATTACTGCCCATCTCCGATTACTTTTGTCAAGTAACGAGTAAAGTAAGGGATTACTATTGCAAAAATGGTAATCAGATTACCGTTACATTCCCGTAGGAACGCTGCGTTACTGCGTTACTAAAACCGTGAGTTTTTTGCGAGAATGTCTCATGACAGTGACCTAAGCGAGTGCGAAGTTTGTGACAACAGCTGTGTGCAGATCAACAATGGATAATATATGGAGTGGGGAGAGCGAAAAAAAAACCCTAAACTTCCAAGCAAGCACCGAGTGCGCTACAACGTAATGGGAAATTCACAGCGAATCTGGCAGATTCTTCCACTGACCGCTGCAGCACACCTGCACCAGGGTAAACCTCCGCCTACCCTACTTTACAGGTGAAAATAGAGCAACAGGACCGCTAGTCTTTGACTTTATTTATTTTCTGCTGTGTTTTACTTGCATCTATTTGAAAGACTGAGTGTAAACACCAAAAAAATATTTTATTTTATGTGCTGGAATGTGCAGAAAATAGGTTTAAATATTAAACAAATTTCTTCCAGTCAGAGAATGTTGCATATAATTTAATATTTGCTTGATGCATAAAGTTAAAAGATTAAAACTAATAAAACAAGTTTTAAAAAGAGACTTTTCCATTTGATTACATTTTGTATGATGGATTATGCAGAAAAAGTAGAATTGGGCTGAAAGATCTATTGCTTTATCACCTATTCAGTTGTAAATCGTGTTTTTAAAAAGTAACTAAGTAATTAATTACTTTTGAAAATAAGTAACCAGTAAAGTAATGGGATTACTTTTGGCGGGAAGTAATCAGTAATTAGTTACTTATTACTTTTTTCAAGTAACTTGACCAACACTGCCTGCAGGTATGAGGCTGTTGTTCTCCTTTATTTCATAGTGGACAGAAATGATTTTTTTGGAGTGGCACAAATAATTTGTGTGGCATCAGATTTGATGCAGAACAGCTGATTGTTCTGTAAATAGTTTTAAATGTTTATTTAAAAAATGCCTTGGCTGCATTTTTAGGTAAATGGCTGCAAAAAACTTTGTTTGCATAACTCAGTTACTTTTTTGAAGAAGTAACTATATAATTAATTGCCCAACACTGGTCATTATATACTGTATTTTGCAGACAGAGAGTTACAGACTCTCTCCCAGACCACGGACTCATAATACAAGTCAGAGCTTTATTAAAAAAAAAAAAAGAAAAGTTGTGTTTACAAAATTGGAGTTCAAGTTATTTTTACTTCCAATAGTGTTAATATACTACAAAGGTCATGAACAAGATTTTTTTTCATTTTCATTGTAAGTAGGCTAAAGCAGTTAATTAAAAGTAGTCTAACATAAATGTAAATGCTGTAATTTGATTATTTTAATCAACCATGTAATTTGGATGGATTTGATGACCACTATATCCGCTTAGCTAACCCTTAAAGTTTGAAGAACGAAAGAAGAAAAGGGTGGCTTGTGCTATCCCACAAGAGGAAGGTTCTGGTTTTGAATCTGCAGATTGTTTGGGGCCCTGCTGTGGGTGCTTTGGTTACTAGTGATTCTAAATGGGGTGTAGGTGTGAATGGCTGTCTACGTTTCTGTGTCAAACCTATGACTCACTCTTAATTTGTCATGGGAAAGCTAGAGCCTATTGCTCTGTGACAGCTGGGATAGACTAGCTATTCCACAACCCTGAACTTGTCAAGCAGTTATCAGCACGGTGGATCATCTGCCTGAGCTGTAACCGTGTACTGTGCACTCATTTCTAATCCTGTCCATCCTGGTCACTCTCAATAAGAATTTCAACATCTTCAACTCTGCCACTTCTAGACATCATAGACATCTTCTCTATCACTTTTGCGGCCATCTTTCTGACACAAATCACCATTGACACTCGTCTCCACCTGCCCCACCCTGCCTGCACTCTATAAATGTAAGTCAATTTAAAAAATTGGAGATACATCCAGCTTAAAAACATTTTCTCTATTGTAGTTAACATGTGGCACAATCCCGCTGATACACGTTTGTAAGTTCAGCAAGAAGAAAATGTGCTGGTTGTTATTCTTAGAAATGGTGACAACAGAAGGGTGTCAGGAAACTGCGACTATGCAACATTTTCCCCTGTGCTTTGATGTTACTGTAAATTCAGAATGGCAACACCTAATAAAACTGCTTCTTAACACTTTCATCTTTCTGTTAAATAGATAAACAGAAAAAAGAATAGCTTTTGCCACGGCTGTTCTCAAGTGCAAACGTATGTAGGAATGATTTAGCTATGCAGTGACAGACAGGAGACAGTTTTCAGATTCAGTCATGACTGAATGATCTCAAAAAGAGTTTCGTACAGTTTGAAAACAATGACTGATTATTTTTGACTGTAAACACAATAAAGCACCTTAATGGAAGAATTAAATAAACTGATCAGTGCATACAGCAGTATGATCCAGCAGCTCTTACCATATATGTTTCTGTAAGTCACAAAAGGTTTATATGAAAAGTAAAACATTGCTAAAGTCTGAAAAAGTCTCTGTATGCATGAAATTGGCTCCCTATAAAACTATCGCAACTCAGAATACTCAGATACCATAAAAATATATTTTAAAACTCACCAAAATGCAATTTATTGTCCTCACAGGCCAGAAAAAAGGTCAATTTACATTATTTTAAGGTTAACTTTTGTGCTTACCCCAAACGAAGGAAAGACGAAGTGGGTGAAAGTTGCGATGTCACTTCTTTAATGTGAGCTCCAATGTAACGGAGGTGAGAAAAAACACCCAGTATGATATCTGACAAGCTGACAAACAAGCAGGAAAGCCTTCCTCTCTTTTCTCACACCTATGCTCGCATGCGCTCAAAATGTGCATCTCATGACCTCACACACCACACACACGCAAACACACACACCACACAGGAAAAAAGCCCCCTCGCTATGACAGCAGGGCTCGTGGAGGTCTGTCTGTTGCAGTGGGCTGCCTTCTGTGGGCCTGTGTGCTATTACTTTAAAGGGGCTGAAATCTCCTGTAATTAGCCTGTATCTCATGCTTTAATTTGTGTCAGCTCATTTATCACAATCACAGGGACCCTATCGGCTCTCATTGTCCCCCGTGAACAGTCATATCCTCAGATGAATGGCTCCTGTAAGGGCGCTCAAAACACTCGTTTGTGAAACATACACCATGCCCAGCTGGAGCCCATTCTCCGAGCCACAAGTGGGCACGGGGGGGCTATTCTTCTGTGTATGGCATGTGATTATGTGCATGCAAGCACCTGTTTCCTATGATAAACAAAACTCATTTTCCCATCTGTTTATATCAGCGCCGGGAAGAAAGCAGCCTGAAAGAGAGAGAGAGAAAAAAGCCAAAAAGGTTGTTTATCCTCTTTGCACAACATTTGGCTGAACTGAATGAGTCCATTAGTCTTCAGTCTCGACTGAGCGTGCCATTTCAGCTGGCTTTTACTCTACCCCGACATGCATCATCAGCTCATTGGCAGGAATGAGTGAATAAGAGAAAAAAAATGATCCTCTTCAGCGTTGGTTGCAGCCCAGGATCCTGCTTTTGGATCTAAGCAGAGAAGCCAGGGGAAGATTTGCACTGGCATCAAGGGCTCAAGTCGCCATGACAACCGCCACCATGGCTGCAGTATTTGTGGCCTCTCACCTACTGTATTACAAGAGCTGAAAGGGCCTCCCGTCTCTGGAGTTGCAGAGGTCTCAGAGTGTTATTACGGCACATTTCAGCACGGAAATAGCCAGTAATAGTGCGAGTGAAAAACGAGCCGGACGCCTTTCATCTCCGCCAGGTGTCTGGGATGTTTTGGTTACATAAGCACCCCTGCAGATACGGCCCCAGGTTTCATCAGAGTGCAGAGCAGCCAGAAGTAGAGATCATGAGGGGTGGGGGTGGGGGGCTATGCTCACTGCTGCTTGGGTGGATGGACGGGAGCAGGAGGTGGAGGTGT